GGCCTGGTAGAGCTTCCGCTCCAGCGCCAGCACCGCCTCTATGTCCGCCTTCAGGCGGGCGTTGTCAGGCACGGCCAGGAAGGTGGTGGTCAGGTTGTGGAGGAGGCGGCGGTAGCTGTTCAGCTCCAGGTCAAAGTCAGCATTGTCCTCGTAGAAGGGGCCGTTAGTGACGAGGCCGTATTTAATCTAAAGGTGGTGAAAAGAGTAAACAAAGGAAAAAAGTGCTAAACTTAGTAGTAGAAGTTAAAAGGAATCCGGAACTGGTTTCCATTTCGGCTTACATTGATGATCGGCTTTCTTTGCGGGTAGACGTAGTCGCTGACCAGGTCAAACACCGGACTGAGGCCGGTGAGGGTGAAGGTGTTCACTTAGAGGTCTTGCCAGGTAGCAGGAGAAGGAGGAGGAGGAGGAGGAGAAGAAGAAACAAAAGTAGCGTTTTCAGTTTTGCTCTTTGGTTTTCTCTGCAACAACGGCCACTCGCCAATAACTCGGTGAATAGTGTCCAGAAGGGGCGTCACACCCCGTCGCTCAATGGTCGCCCAATCGAGGCAGTCCGCGTAGAAGTGCCCCACCAGCTGGACGGCCTCACTGCTGCTGCTGGAGTGCTGCTGCGCCGCCGCCGCCTTGAGCAGAGCCTCGTCCACCTCCCGTGACACTTGGCTTCGCCCTAGGGCAAAGTAGTCCAGGGAATCGGTGCCATTTGGTAGCGGATGTGCCGCCGGCCACCTGCCGCAGACGTAGTCGAAAAAGTCGTCGCACTGAAAGAAGATTGAAAAAAAAGTGTTTTACGTTCGGAAATGTTTTTTGTTACTTAAAACTTTTGGTTGTTTTACCGGTGCGACTGACTCGTTTAGAGAGTGGTGCAGCAGGTCTTCGCTCAGTGCTTTGCAGGCTGTAGTTTGGCAAACTTCTAAAGATAATGAGTTGAAAAAAAAATTAAACTTTTTTTAGTTTATTGATAAAGTGTTTTTCACCTTCAGCCAAAGCTGCAGCTGACAATGTCAAGCAAACAGCTATAAAAACTAGGAACTGTTTCATTTTTTAGGTGGTTTTTCTAAACGACCTGTCGAAAGTGCTTTTCAATTTTAATGCCATTTTTATATATTTTTGATAGTTTTTTAAACTGTTGCTTTTTGCTCACTTGAAAAATGACTGTTAGTTGCTATAGCCGGTTGTAACAGTATATTTTAAAATGCCTATCAGTTTGATAATAAAGTGATCAATTTCAAAAACATCAATAAGGCTTATTAATTAGGGTCAGTTTATTATTATTACAGATGATTTTAATAGTGCGGTTATATTTGAAAGTGCAATCACAAGCAGAGCCACTACTCAAAACAGTAAGCTTTTTTACAATTTTTTGCAAAATTGTTTTGGCAAATAATTGCTGCATACATTTGAATATTTTTCTAGTTAAATATAGTCTGAAGTTGAAATGTTAAAACTACTTTTCTAGATCACTTTTTAATTTTAAATATTTTTATAGAAGCGGTTGGTAACGCGGCGCGCGGAGAGATTTGAAGCATGACGTAGTCCAGACTGACTTTTAATGGTAGAGGGAGCAGCTTATAAAGCATTTACAGAGGTTTCGAACTTCGCGTGAGCAAAGCCACGTCACCAGCGGCCTGGTGGCCGCTACTTTAAATATTTAAAAACTCAACTTTTGCTGAATTTATTTTTATGATTTAGTAACTGTTTTCATTATTTATTATTAAAATTTACTGAAATAAAAAAATAAAATTAAGGTTTTTGATAATTAATAGCTGGTAAAAATTTCTATAGAAACCAAATTAGTCTATTTGTTTATCCAGACAAAAATACGGAAAATCTAAACGCACTGTATATAATTTATTTCAAAGTTTAAAACTCAAACGATTTGCCTTTTAACAGTAGACAGTCTGCAAACTAAACTAAATCAGGTTTTAAATCCAACTGCAAGCAAAAACATGTGGCTGTTTGTCAAGTCCCTGGTGAGCTTTTTCTTCCTCCACACACCCCCTCATCTTCAGACGGTGAAGTACGCCGCCAATGTGCACCGCCCACTGGGAAACAAACTTCATCCGTTTCGCGTTCTATTTTACTTAATCCTACTTCAGTACGCAGTGCGAACGACACTGTACAGCGCCTTCTACCGTCGGTACACTCGGTACGACCCGCTGATGGCCGTCGCCGACTCCATCACCACCCACCACATGGTGGGCGTCTGTTCGGTGCCCTACGCCGTCTTCCTCTTCTACCTCGACTACCTGCTGGTGCTGCGGCCCAACCAGAAGGTGGCCATCATGTTGAGGGACATTCTCCTCTACAGTAGAGGTTAGTAAGTTGTTGTTGAGGTGTTTTTTAAACCAAAAAAAAAGTAAAAAGTATCGATGTGTTTGTTGAACTCCACTTTTTTCTCATCAGCACCAGTGCAACTGTCGAGCACATTTTTCTTCAGTGTACTTTTTACCCGGAATTCCCTTTTATCGTTGTGCAAATGTGCCAACCAGTGGGTGCAGCGTTTGAAGGGTAAACAGGTGCTACAGTTTACCCGCCCACTGCAGCACTACCGACAACTGTCTCCAAGCGCCCGAACTCGGGTGGCCGCCACTGGGCTAATTCTCGAGGCTCTTTTCATCAACAGTATCCTCTCCCTTGCAGTGACCTTAATTATACTCTACAATAATATTATTCTCTACAAAGTACATATTGTCCACCGGGTGTGTGCTTTCAAATGGGCCTCGCCCTACCTTCTCTTGGTGGACGGACTGATTTTGCTGACAGCCGTCCGATACGCCTACACCTTAATTTTCTTCGCTCTCAGTGGATTAATACAGTTATCACTGACGCTGTACCTTCACCTGCGCGATCTGAAACGGCTTGTTTTTTGGCTTTTTGGGCAAATAAAAAGCCGCCGCTCTACACCCACTCAAATTATTCTCATTTGGTCGTATTTTTTCCGACAACATTCACTAGCTTTGACCGATCTGATGACCTTTAACTCGGAAGTCGTCTCGACGCTCCTCTTCTGGGTGTGCCTTCCGCTGCTTTCCAGCAGTGTTTACTGCCTCTGCCTGCTGTACTTCTTCCGGCTGGAGCCTATTGTGCGGGTCATTCTGTGCTTCTGCCTGCTCCTTCACGCCACTACCTTTGCCATTTTCACCTTCCTGCCGCCCGTCAGCCGAGCACTGTACACTGTCACTGGGCAGCTGTACAGAGCGCAGATGACACTTCCTTCTGGAAAAGGGCACCACCAGCTAAAGGGCAGACTTAAGATGACGGCTTACTACGAGATACTGTGCACAAACAAGAAGGTGACCTACACCTTTGGAAGCTACGCCAAGGTGGATAGGAGCTGGCTGTGGGAGGTAGGTGCAGCTGGTTGTGCTGATAATGGCTTTGTTTACTTGTATTTGCCTTTAATTAAAGCTGTTTTTGTTCAACAGCTACTCCTCATCTGGTCATCATATGTTTTGTATTGTTTTAAAATTTTTAACGGGCAACTTGCCGTCAATAATCAACAAAAGTAGCAGTATTGTGTTTCTGGTTTTGCACGTTTATACATTTTTCAAACGTTTTTTTGGTAATATTTTAAAGCTGTTAAAGTTGTTCAAGTTTAAAACTATAAAAATGATAAATGACTTTTTTTGACAAATATTTAAATATTTTAAATAAACAAAATGGAAGAAAAGTTTGCAGCATAAAAAGACGCATAAAAAGAAAGACACAAGCACAGGTAGTCACTTTAAAGTGGACTGTCACTTAGACTTC